AAAAAAAAAAAAAAAAGAAAATCATCGTAAAAAAACTTGTTTAGTCCAAAAGAAAGCCAAACCAATGACAAAAGACAAAACGTTTCATTAAACTCAAGATACCTTAAAAATGTTTGTATTTAAATTGATTGAACTGCCACAATTTGGGTCACAATCATGATAATCCAACAGCAAAATGCTGCAAATGAATGCAAGAAATATATCTGTATATGACACATGCTTAAAAGTAAATAGAGTCCACTTCAGTCCATGTATAATGTGAACACAAAGTAAACTTCACTATCACTTCTGGGTAATGGTGCATTGTGGTGCTTATTGTACGACGACTTACTAAATCACTAAATAAATAGATAGGCCAATTGATTTGAGTGTACTTATTTTATTATGTGAGAAAGAACGTGTGTGGAGTGTAAATGGAAACATGAAACTAGCATGCAGAAAATCACTTAACTGAGAAAATGTGTTCTAATTTGACCAATCAGAGTCAAGTATTCCAGAGAGCCGTGTGATAAATGAGAGCTGAATGAGCGGATGAGGCTGAGAGAAGGAAGACTAAAGCAGAGAGCTGTTATGAGGCTAAAGAGACGCTGTCTTGAGTTTGGCCGGAGTCCATGTGTAATATATCTAACAGGTCACTTCACATACAATGGCAGATCCATTACAAAGGCTGTTCGTCTCTTTGAGAAGCCTGTGTCCTTGAGTTGAAGGACAAATGCTAAAGCTGCAGACTAACAACTGCACAGAGTTTCAGAGAAAACACAACTTAGATTTGTGCTCAGCAAAACCATTTACCTTTGTCATTAGATGCTATAATCTGCTAGAGAACATTAGTGTGATGTTCATTCACTCGTGCAATTATAGCCGTCCGTTTTTAATGAAAAGCATTTAAAGAAAAAAAAACTAAATTTAACAGCAGAAGGTAAATAGGTAACACTTTACAATAAGGTTCCATTATTAGTTAACTTCATTAGTTAAGAGTAACGGATGAAAAACAGTTTGAAAGCATTTATTAATATTAGTTAATGGCAATTTGAATACATTATTAAAAATCAAAAGATGCATCTGATAATATCATTTAATAGACCTGAACATGAACTAAAAATAACTACCATTAATAAAGATTAGCCTAATAAATCCATTGCTCATTGTTAATGTATAGTTGGGACCTTATTGTAGTGTTACTGGTAAATCTGCTCCTATAAACCCTGCACAGAAATCTGGTTCTGTCATAAACATATTTCATTTGTCAAGATACTGGTTTAAAAAGGAGCCTATTTGCATATTTATTTCACATTTTGCATTGAATATTAAATCTAGTGAGCATGAAATAAACAAATAAAATCAGACATCGTTGATATTCCAGCAGCATTTTTCTTTTGCACATGTAAGCTGCTTCCCAGCATGCATCCTGTATTAAAATGAATGTCACCACAGAGCGGTGCAAAGCAGAGTGTGGATTTCAGCTATTTGTAAGAAATATCTATGCATTGAGTCGACTAAGAACTCTTGCATTAAGCTGATTGATTTCCACATTTATAATAACAAAGACAGGAGTTTCACAGTGACGCATCAAAGCAGATGAGAAACTGCTGAGTGCATGTCAGCGAGAAATGCAGAACAACACCTGCTCAAAATGAAGAAAATCCGTCTATAAATGTGAAGACACCTACAAAACAGACAGATACTAACCTGACGGGACTAGTTTTCACAGATCTACTTTGTGAAGCAACCTCTGCAAAAACAATAGAGAAAATTACCTTCAGTTTCCGTGTGTCCTTTGATAAACCAAATCCTTCTGGGATTGCAGATACCGTATTTTTCACAATACTTCTCATTTACTTTGATGTTTTTGAATAGGATAACTGATGCAAAGTGTCTCAGATTCAATTTCATTATGGATTTAATGAATCCTTTTTTTTTGCCAACTTTTTGGATAATATAACAGCCGGTAGTTCAAGTACTGCTGTCGTCTTTGTTAAATGTTCAAACTCTAAAAGCAAATCTGCTTGATTTGTCATGCACGCAGATCACATGATCTTCGGTAACGCCCACCTCCAGACACTCCCACTTTACTAAAAACTACCCAGACTCCAAATCAACCCCAACTATTACAAGAAATCACAAACATCCTGCATTAATAACTGCAAACAGAAAACTAGTGTGCAACAAGCATCCATCCATGACTCACCATCATTAGCACTAATCCACACTTTATATTATCTGCACCTGCTTTTCCATTCATCAAAAGACATTGCACCAGTGATTTTATCTTTTGTTTCCTCTCCTTTGAGGCAGGAAACATGTTACATTCAGACATTTGCTACAATGCATTTTCACTATCTGTCAACCAGCCAGAAGACAACTGAGGGATTAAACTAGACTATTTAACACACCCCTCCAGTGAATTACTATTTCAACAAAAAACTAAACTCGTAAGCGTTAACCGTTGTAGGGTACAGCAGGACATTTCTGGAGCTCTACCCATCATTAAAAATGCGGTGCAGGTTGATGAGAGTTTCTGACCTGGATTTAATGAGGGGCAGGTTTTACTCTAGGAAATCAGGACAGAAATGACTTACGCTGTCGGCTGCTCATCTGGAGCGAGTAATGAGCATGCATTGGCAGTGGCGTGATAGTGCCGTACACACAGAACAGAGACACTACATAAATAACCTACTTCTGCCACCGCTACCCATCAGAAAAACGC